AGTGTAAAAACATAAGTATCAATATATTAATTATACACCATCTGAGCATTGGAATATTTGAAAGTGTGTTAGACTTAAAAATCTATTCAAGCATTTGCATAATGCAAGTTTTTAGGTAATACATCCTGTTTTCAAACTATGCATTGGATGTTTTTACAAAATTTTAAGGAAAATAATAGTTACCTCTACACCTGTTAAACCAAGTGCTGTTTGTATATTGGGTGTCATTCTGAATGGAACACGTTCAGGTACTCTCAAGCCTTTCCCTTTCTCAAAACATACATTATAATCAATATGGACCACCTGCAATAGAACAATATAACAATTAGGAATTTTGGAGCAGTCTTGTTTCAGGACCATGAGGAAGGACAACAATAATAATAAAGTCATAGACTGATCTTACCTCTCTGGTAGCCAGGTCTATCAATACATTATCTAAATGTCTATCACCTAGACCTATAATATAACCTATCATAGACTGATCTTACCTCTCCTGTAGCTAGATCTAGGTCTATCAATACATTATCTAAATGTCTATCACCTGGACCTATAATATAACCTATCATAGACTGATCTTACCTCTCCTGTAGCTAGATCTAGGTCTACCAATACATTATCTAAATGTCTATCACCTAGACCTATAATATAACCTATCATAGACTGATCTTACCTCTCTGGTAGCCAGGTCTATCAATACATTATCTAAATGTCTATCACCTAGACCTATAATATAACCTATCATAGACTGATCTTACCTCTCCTGTAGCTAGGTCTACCAATACATTATCTAAATGTCTATCACCTAGACCAATAATATAACCTATCATAGACTGATCTCACCTCTCCTGTAGCTAGGTCTAGGTCTACCAATACATTATCTAAATGTCTACCACCTAGACCTATAATATAACCTATCATAGACTGATCTTACCTCCCCTGTAGCTAGGTCTAGGTCTACCAATACATTATCTAAATGTCTACCACCTAGACCTATAATATAACCTATCATAGACTGATCTTACCTCTCCTGTAGCTAGATCTACCAATACATTATCTAAATGTCTATCACCTAGACCAATGATATAACCTATCATAGACATGACAGCCACTGATCTAGAGTAGGTTTTTGTCATCAACCACCATTCACTAGCTCCAGTACTAGAACACCATAACTCCCTATAACATAAATGTTAAATGTCTTACTTAAACTTATGATAATTGTACAGCATTATATTCTGAAGAAAAAAAATTTTGTTTCAAAAAAACATCTGAGAAGTTAATCAGCACACTTTCATGAAGATCTTACCTAGCTAACAGATCAGCAGGTGTTTCTTCCATTAACTCTTGTAAAACTTTAACTAGGATATTTAGAGGCCATTCTTTACGATTATCTAATGTATCTATTCCCTAAAATAACACATTATTTATTCATTAAATATAAACAATCACTACAATACATTATTAACTGTCAATACTCAAAATATAGTAAAACTAAATACAACTAACATAAACAACAATCCTTGGGAGGTGCAGCAGGACAGGTTTGTGAGGATATTGAACTCCATGCCAGTTTTCTCGGTAACACTTGATCATTCAATGTGAATTACGCTAAAATTTTCCAAAATATGATATTGCATTAGAATCAACATATACATATATGATACCTTATCTTGTAATGTACAGATATATTACCTTATCTTGTAATGTACAGATATATTACCTTATCTTTTAATGTACAGATATATTACCTTATCTTTTAATGTACAGATATATCACCTTATCTTTTAATGTAAAGATATATTACCTTATCTTTTAATGCTGGTGTTAGTTTATTATAAAAGACTTCACTAGGTCTGGATATATTAGGTGCAGTGTTTGTACTGGTACCAGTATTCTAGAATGATAAAAATACAGTATAATCTTACAGTAAAATCTGGATGTGATCTTGAGTAAACAGAGTAAGTCCCTGACTAAGTGATTTTAAACTCTCTGATAGAAAAAAATATTTGCTGTCATTTAAAATTCACAGTGAGAAAAAATAAAGTAGATGTTTTTAGCTACAAGTCTTCATCTCTTTTAGCTTTAAATGCTCAATATAAAATTTTCATATAACAAAGCATTTACCTTCATAGTCTGTGCTAAAGCTTCTCTCTGTTGCCATTTTTTATACAGA